AAAACCCTCTCCGGGCACTCCATGGTGGCGCAGCAGGTTAAAGCACAGCACTAAGAAGCTAAAGCCACTGCAGCATGAGTTCGATCTCTGCCCCGCAGGTTACCCACATGGCGCGGCAGACCTCTCCTGACCCGCCCGCTGCTCCCCTCAGCAGTGTACTTCGTCAGTCGGCCTGTTCTGCTCCCCACTCTGTCTCTGGTGAAACCTCTCACTGCCTCTGAACCTCTGGCCTATATCCCAATTCTGTATAAATATATCTTTAAAGAAAAAACACTTTCCTTTAAAAGTTGATACTATCGAGTTCAGTTTACTTTGATAATTCCTTCTCTTCAATATAAAAGCAGTATATCCAGGGTTAGTGTCTTTGGGGGACTCCATGATTTATTTTGTTTTTATCTATAATAAATATGCATCATCTTTTATTTTTACATGCTATAACCATCATATATATATGTATACACACACACACACACACACACACACACACACACATATATATATATATATATATATAACTAGAGATAAGATCATTAACAAGTACTGGGACCAGTGAACAGCCTACCCAGGTTGATTATTTTCTATTTTGAAACATACAAAAAAGTTACAAGAATAATTCAATGAGCATTTTTTCCAATTACCAAATTGATGTCCCAAATTCTTCAGCATTTAATATGAGCAAAGATATTTTCCTACATATATACAACATAACCATGAAATTTTTCAGACTGCAATTCATATGCTGCCAATCGTCTCAATAATGCCCCATGATGACTGATATCCATGTCTGGCTGTCCACACAGATAGTCCCCTCATCACTATGCTCATTCTCCCAAGACTCCAACATGGATGCCTTTCTTGGTCTATTAAGTTCTAACAACCCATACCAGATCCTTCTCCTCCCGCCCCCAAGTAGAGCACAGCTTTGCACACCTTGTTCATGCTCCAAAGCTCAGCACACCTTTCATAAGTGTTCTCATTCTGTTTGGGCTCAGGATCTCTCCCCAGGAGTTCCCCTGCACAGATGCGCTGCTCACGCTGTACGCCACTCCAGTGTATGGATGCACCCCTCCCCCTTCTCCAGCTCTGATTCTCCATACCAGGCTACCCACACACAGAAGACACTCCTGGCCTTGTTTGGGCTGTTATGGGATGAATTGTGTTTCCTCTCCCTTCAAAAAGTAGGTGCTGAAACAAACAAACAAAAGAAACATGTCTTTTGCAGCAACTTGGATGGAGCTGGAAAAGATCATACTTAGTGAAATCAGCCAGAAAGAAAAAGAAAAACATGGGATGGTTTCTTTCATAGCAGGAATAGAACAAAACAGGCGAGAAAATAATGATGGTGAACAACTATATACCAGAGACATTTTATGGGGACGGGGTGGGGAATGGGATCAAAAACAGTGGGGGGGAGGGAAATGCACTGGACTATGGTGATGGTACATGGGTGATTTGGTGATGAGAAGCCCAAGGGGATTGCAAATGAGATGAGAAAATGCACAAAATGATGTAAAAATAAACTATTACATAGTTTATTATTTATAAAATTTTTAAAATGTGCTGAAGTTCTAATCCACAGGACCTCAGAATGCTAAAATGAAGTCATACTGAGGTAGGGTGAGCCCCTAACCCAATAAAACAGGTGTCCTTATAAGAAGATGTCCATGTGAAATGTTATATCATTGTCACATGACAATGAAAACAGAGATTGGAGTTTTGCAGTAGATTATTAAGGAAAACAGGAGGTTGCTGGAAAATCAACAGAGGTTAGGAAGAGGAAAGGAAGGCTCTCCTTACAGGTTTCAGAGGAGTGTGGTCCTGCTGACACCTTCATTTTAGACTTCCACCTTCAGAACAGAGACAATCAATATCTATTGTTTTAAGCCACCCAGAATGTGGTGCTTGGTCAAGGCAGCCCTAAAATAAATAAAGGCTTTGATATTAGAAAATGGGTGACTGCTGGAATGAACACTTAAACATGTGAGAGTGACTTTGGAAATTGGTACATGTAGAGCTGGAAGAAATTTGTGGTTCATGATAGACAAAAGAAGCCTAGCTTTCCTTGAAGAGAATGTTGTTTAAGAAATGAATGCTGGGCCCTCCCTGGTGGCCCAACAGGTTGAAGTACAGCTCTACAAAGCTAGCCACAGCCCCTTTAGTGCAAGTTCGATCTCCACCAGGGGGGGTGACACACATGGCCAGCAGACCTCTCCTGTCTCACTCACTGCTCCCCCCAGCAGTGTACTTCATCAATCTGTCTGTTCTGCTCCCCACTCTGTGTCTGGTGAATCTTCACACCACCCCTGCTCCTCTGGCTTATATTCAAGTTCTGTATGCATAAATAAATGTTTTAAATCTTTTTTTAAAAGGGATAAAACTTTATTTAAAAATGGGAAAAAACATGGATACAAAGCACAAGCTTCAGATAGTTAGGTGCAATCTCAGCCCTTACTGTGTTTACATGTAAACTAAGGTGCGTCTCTCCCTTAGTCCCTAGAGCATAAAACAAGGGCGAGGATGTCACTGGTGCTGTTCTTTAAAGAAACTGCCCAGAAAAATATGCTGTCTATGTGGGGAAAAAAAGAAGTGTTTTTGGAAGCTTCTGCTTCTAGACAAATCAGTAACTTCAAAGTATGTCAACTCTGATGTCACATTGCTAAACTCCCAGTTCCCAGAAGATAAAGCTCTAAATAAAGAGGGTAAATTTTAACAGCCTTCTCTGTGTTCCTCAATGCAAAAACATCAAGTAGTACATTAGCCAGGCACCTGCCCAGATCCTTGAAATGTTTCCTTTGCAAATTGTATAAAATACCCATTGAAAAGCTCAAAGTTTGGGCAGCTTGCCCAGAGCTATCTGGAGGCTGTGCCTGGGCTCAACTCCTAAGTCTTTATTCTTTAATAAACTCATTTAACTTTTGCTTGCCTCAAATTATTTAAGTCAACAGTCTGGTTAGCTCCTTGGTAGCAGGGTCTATGTTCTATTCACTGTTGTATCCTCAGCACTCAACAAAGTCGTTGACATAAAATAGGCTTTTAAAAAAATGTTGGCTAACCAAATGAGAAGGTAGAAAGAAATAGAAGGGGAGAGGAAAAAGTCAGATTTGGATGAAGTTTAAATAGCCTTAGTTAATTAAACTGCAAGCTTGAGGTTTGAAGAAGATGATTTAACAATCTGGGAGTTAGTTTTCAGCTTTGAACCTGCATCTGGCAAAAATGGGGAGTTTACCTTTCACCCAGCTTCAAACAGAAGCTGTATTGCATCGTAACTAGCAGTAATCATTTAACATTATAACAACCTTGAAATATCTGACCAGATTTATAAACAGTCACATTTTCGCAGTGTATTCCATCCTACTGCCATACCTTTACAAAAGATACCATATATGTTGGTCAAAGTTGCTTGAACAATTGTCATGCCATATTCTGGAAGACAGATGGGTAGTTAGCAGAGGCCTGAACCAAATTGTGACCTTAGTCTGATATCATGCTAGAGCTTACACTCTGGACCGAGATTTAGGATGCTAATGAGACCTGCAATGTATGAAGAACCACATAGCTCTTCCATTGAAGCCTTAGTATAGCCCTGGCCTAAAATATACTTCAGTGTTTCTCTCCTTTACCTCAACCTGGTAGACTGGTTATTTTAAAAGACCTTTTTCAATTCTCCCAGGAAAGTCAACTTCACAAACTTTCTGTCAACCTTGACTTCTGTGTGTTAGTGTAAATCTAATAAAGCATTGTCTAGATTCCTTCTGTCTTCCCTTGTTAAATTATTTTACAAGGAGTCAGTAACTGCAAAGGAGAACCTTAAAATTTGTAACAAAGAACCCAAGACAAGAAAAAGGAAGATAAGGAAAGCAAGCTTTGACTCCTGAAAAAAATACCAATGTGGCTTAAGCAGGACCTTGGAAGTGGCATGCCTAGGAGAAAGGGGATCCTGGCACAGTGTCTACAAGGCAGGCAGATGTGGAAAGTCAGGTCTTTGGCCCTAGAACAACTCGTGGACACTAATTGAATAGAAAGCATAGCTGCTGTAAGTCAGCTCACCACTCACAAAGGTTGATACACTATGGTTTAGTTTAAACTACTGGTGTGGGTCTCAAACGGATTGAAAAAAAAAATCAACTGTGTTATCTCACAACTAACTTTCCGGATAATTTTCCCATTTCTGGGACACTTAACAGAGAGGCTTGGGTTCTACGCATGAGCAAAAGGCTCACGGAGACAACGCGAGATCGCCACTCCCTCCACTCTAACGGAGGGCGACGCCAGTTGCGGCGGCGCCTTTTGAAAACGTCACACGCCTGGAATGCGCCATAGTGGGGGGGCGTGGCTTGAGAGACGCGTTACCCTGGCGACCACTTTGTTGACTTGTGCCAGACTCAAGTTGGACCTGGAGCTGTAAGGTTGTGCGTGAAGAACGGAAGTGAACACGGTTTTGCTGCTCCAGCCCCCAGCCTGGGGGCTGGCGGGTGGCCATGGAGTTGTACCTAAGCAACTGCCGTAAGACTGCTCAGGCCGCAGCCAATAAAGCGACAACAAGCAGCCTAAATGCCAAAAAGGACCAGTGCGAAACCGTGAGTGGCCCTGCTTTAGGTCCTCTTCATCCTGACCTCTGGGCGGGATCTTGAGCTACCTGGAGGACCAATGGGGCGGAGATCTCAGGAGCGGGTAGGGGAAAATGGCGGGTTCGTGATTCCTCAACTTGTCTCCCCGGCCCTGGGCTACCAACGGCTAAGACTGCCTCTGGCGAGCCTCTCCTTTGGTGGGGCACAGAAAGAGGGCTGGTGACCTGGGTGAGCTGGTAGGGCTTCTACGTTGTCAGCGGGACGGGTTCTTTCGACCCCCAAGTGTGATTTTTGGTTTATTTGGAAATTTCGGTAGATTGGTCTACACTAATAAAAATTCCTAAAGAAAAGTCAACCTTTCCCATTGTATTTGACAGAGCTCGCCAAAAACACCCGTTCCAGAGGTAGGAGCTGCTAATCTATTGGATCTTCCACTTGGCATCAAACTTCCTGTTATCCCAGGAAGCAATACTGTATTCTATACTACAAACTTATGTGAAAAGGTAAACTAGATTTTAATAATGCTTACCTGACTTTCTTTATCCCTTTTAGCTTGCTGTTAAAATTGAAATACTGCTGTTAATTTCTTGGAGTCAACTTAAATGTCACCCACCAAATAAATGCGTTGAAGTGTGTAGTGTTGGTATTCCCTCACCCCATCTTTTAGTTTCAATGAACAGCCTAAGCATCTCAACAAATTGAGGTTTAAAAGTGTGACTGCTTTCATTTTGCACGTGTAATATTTTTTAAATCTGTGTGTTTACAGCTTTATCAACCTTCTTATGATTTTAACCTGTCTGATCCGTATTGTCAATTATTGGAAACCAACTACAAAAGCCTGCATGATCCACATTTAAAATCATATTATAGGCGTAAAGATATCCTGAGAAGATTAAAGAAAGATGGCTACGTCACCAGCAATAATAAGGTGCGTTACAGCCTGTTTCCTGTTAACTAGATTAAAACCTAAGGACTTGATAGGCATGGGCTTCTGTACTTCACTGGGAGCCTGTATTAACTCTTAGTTGAGCAATAAAGGGTACCTAATAAAAAATTCAATGAGTTACTAAAAGTATTTGGGTAAAGAGAAATCAAGCAGCTAGTGTTTCTAAATGTATCTACTTTAGTCCCCATTTTAACTTTTCTCATCAAATGATGACTGAGACACATGCATATTTTTATTTAAATATCTCCTCCTAGGTACTGTGTCTTTCTTCTGGATCTAAGAGTAATAATGGAACTATATACCTGTCAAGGAATATTTCTTATACCTTTGAGAAGTCTAGAGACAAAAGGAAACCCAACAGAATACAGCTTGATAGAATAAATTCTTTGAGAGGGGTTATGTGTCATTAATCTATTGGTGTTTTAATAAATTCACTGGGAATAGTAAACACCTGATTATTTGTATTTGAATAACATTTAAATAGAAATTTCCAATGATATAGCAATTACAGAAAGCTATTATCTTCTACATTGTTATCAACATATGCTATTGTTACAAAATGTTCTTATAACTTAATTCTCTAGAAAGTTTTGTGACTGTTATAACTTTCTATACATATTTGAGGGTTTCTTGTTTGTTTGTTTTTCCCATAGGTCGTATGTACTTTGAAGGAATTGAATAAATATAGGCATTATCTAACCAGTTTAAAATTAGACTTTGAAAGAAATTATATAAGAGAACAAGTAAGTTAAATACTTAAATTTGTCTTATTTTTGGCCTGTTAAGTTTTTGTGTATGATTTGAAAGAAAGATTTGGTCTTCTTCAGAATACTTTCTAACCTAGAAGTATAAAGGTAACATACAAGCTACCTATAGATCTATAAGAGATAAATATGAGACCTTTACCTTTCAGTTAGAGAATTTTTCACTTGCCCAGAGTGGAGTCACAGTGTACTTAAATGCAGATTAAAAGAATTAACCACTTATAAAATGCTGCATTTTCCCATGCCCTAAATATGAGAAGGCACATCAAAAGGCAGGTTTATCTCTGATCAATATAAAAACTCCAGTTCTCTTTTTCCTCTCAGAAAATTATTGAAAAAGAAGTAAATAAATTCTATGAAACCAAAAGAGCCCATAAATATGAAAATTCACAGTTCCAAGAGTGGTTGTTACAGGAAAATGCACAAGCAAATCCAGAGCAAAAGCTGTTTTTAAGAAAGAGGTATGATCAAACTCAATGCGGATTTCACAGATATGTTGGGGGTGGGGAGAAAGTTGTAAATGTACTAGGAAGAACTGAAAACAGGATAAAATAATTAGATACTATTGAACTCCCTACATTCTTCAACATGAAAGGAAAGGAAAGGAAAGGAAAGGAGATGAAATGGCAACAGATTGGGAGTGTTTGGTACCCAGGTTAGGGAGGAGAATTTCTACCTCAGAAATTATCCTGGAGACTTTCAGGAGCCTAAGAGGTAAGCCAAACCGAGATTTGAAGGAGAAATCCAAAAGTAAAAACCCCAAGTCCATGGTAACAGAGGGAGAGCACATTTCAGACTTTAAAGCTTTAGGAAATTACTGCAAGGTAGAAGTGGGAGAGTTGCTATAACTTAATCTAATGCTGGTATTCCCCAGCCACATCTGTTCATTCATTCAGCTATCACCTGTACACATTCAGTGTCTTCGTTAAGAGGACAAGTCCATGCCCCAGGAGACATCAGTTATGGTACTTGCTCTTCTTCATGGCGCCAGTTCCCTTTCACCTGGCTTTTCTATTCCACGGACTCATGTCATGATATGTCAGGTTACATACTTATCCAACAGTCCCAGCCTGGTCATCTGCAGACCTATATGTGGGGTCTGCACCAGAGGCCCTTCAAGGACTTGGGGATTATGTAGAGGTCAGTACCCACTAATTTTTAAAGGCAGTTTGTGTTTTTTGAAGTCGGTCCTTAAGTTGAATTTTGTCATCATTGGAAACTGATTCCCAAAGCAACTCATTTATGAATAATTTCCATGTAAGATGCTTTCAAACTGTTCCACATTGAACCACAGTAGTAGAGACTTAGATATGGCAGAGTATGGTAACATAAATAGTGTGGTGAGTTGGTAGACCAGGCTAGCTTAAAGGTCCCTGAAAAACTGTATTTCTTATAGTTCATGGAGTCGCAACCCAAGGTGGTTTGGGGATACCAAATTAGATAACGGGAAGTACTCAATTTACCTTCATTTCTATTTACACTTTTACTTAGGTACACAGATATGATTGGTAAAAAACTGCACAAGGGTGAGCCCGTTGTAGGAGATCAGAGTACAGGCCATATAAAAGAAGAAGAAAGACGGCATCAGGAGAACATTAAAAGAAAACTTAATCTCCGAAAACAAATTGAAGCGGTAAGAAGCACTGAATCTTCAATATCAGGGGACAGTGTGGTTCATGTTATTCATGAACATTTTTAGCACACCCACTATATTATCTGAAGTTACCTCAGGACTAAAAATAAATCACTGCTAAAAACAGCAATGATTTTTGATATAATTAACTACTTAATCATTCATCGCTATTATTATACATCACCAGTTTTTACTTAACATGGTAAGACTGATAGCACACATATATCTGTTGCATTACAGTCACACCTCATCTGCATTTAGTTTTGGAATTTAACTCTAGCAAGAAATAAAAATGCCTGCATTTTTACCCTTCAGAGTGCAGAGAAGGCTTTTTGTTTAGCTTCTCTGTCAATATGTACTTAAGGGCAGCAGGTTATATATGCTGTACACCCCATAGTCCATAAGAGAAAACCCTCTTGCCACACTATTTTTAGATGCATCTTGAATGAAGCTTCCGTTAACAAAATAGCCTCCTTCCATTTGCCATCCATTGCACCCAACAACACATTCCCAATAAAAAGCAGGAAAAAAAAAGCTAGTGAAAGATTTTCATTATTGACCAAATTTCTCTTAGGCCCTTGATTTTCTGTAATTTGCTCATTCACTGTATACTCCCAAAAATATAATGAAAGATCATCAGCTGATTACTGTAACATTTTGCTCCTTAGGACTGGAAGATAAAAGAAATGTTACTGCTGAAAAAGATTGGGGAAGAAGTAAAAAGAGAAGCAAGAATTGAGGAACAACGTCGAAAGCTCAGAGAAGCAGCTGACCAAAAGGTAGAGTGAGCTTTTACCAATAACAAGGTTATTAGAGGAAAGGGTTTCTCTTTTGCCAATTTTGATATTTTAAAGTATAAATTGTTAGAACTGGCCTACACAAACAAAGCTACAGCTGAAGAGAGTCAGTCTCGTCTGATCCTGGACATCAAAGGCTGGTCTAAAATAGGACCAGTCTCCTGAAACTGGAAAGTGGGTTAACTTGGATCTCATTGTTAAAATATATCTTATTCTTGCTAGAAAACTAAAGGAAACCTACTCATATTACCTTCCTTGGATAGGAAGGAAGGCTCCCTTCCAATACTCCATTATAGTTGAAATATCTGCATTTCCAGTGGCAGTTATAATACATTTTTAAATGTTATACATATTTTTTTAAACATTTTAGAAACAAGAACTTCTAGAGAAAAAACTCGCTTATCATTTACAAAAAATGCAAAGGAGTGACATTAGGAAAGAAGAATCGGAGAAAATCACCTCTGAAAACAATGAAATAGGAGGTAAGAGAGAGAATAGACAACACATCTAAGTTAAAGATGTGTATCTGTACATTAAATATTGGGGCCTAGTAAACCCCCCTCCATATGCTTATATAGTGAGATCCTAGAAACTCACACTACCTGTGCCAGGCACTGTGCAAGTCGCTTTCTAGTTACAACTCAACCACTTTAAAGAATGTGTCCACACACACTAACTACATTATAAAAATCAAATGCTTGGGTAAAGTGGCTCAGTGGACAGGACTACCCAGACTACAGGTTTACAAAGGAGACATGACAAAGAAAAAAAGATAGAAAGCAAAAGACAGAAATACAGAGGGAGAGAAAAGGATCCAACAAGAGAAAACATCCCCCCCCACCCTCAAAATAAACCGAAACAGATAGATAGGGAAACAATGAAAGAAAAATAGAAGGAATAATTTTACTCAGGGCAATAAGAAACAATTATACAAAACAGGGAGAGCAAGTTAGTAAGAGGAAGCAATTTTTTTTTTTTGAGGGGAGAAAAGTCTTAAAGTTAAGAGACATTCAAAATATATCAGCAAGAAATAGCAATAGAAAAAAGCAAGGAGGAGGCAGTTAAGAATGCCATGGAGAGAGGAGAAGAAAAAATTGAACAGAAGGCCATAAGAAAACAAACACTGGGTGAGAGAGTGGGAAGAAAGCAAAGGAACAAATGGAATCAGATACGAGACCGGGCACAGGGGAGGTGCAAACAGGCAAGGAAAAGTGTGAAAGAAAGAGCAGGAAAAAGCATACAGGAAAAATACATTTTAATAAAATGAAGAAAGAGTACAGGGAAAAAAGGGAGACATGTAAAAAGAATAACCAGTTGAAAAAGAGAAAAGAGGGCCCTCCCTGGTGGCACAGCAGGTTAAAGCACAGCACTAAGAAGCTAAAACCACTGCAGCAGGAGTTCGATCCCCACTCGGGAGGTGACCACATGGCGTGGCAGACCTATTCTGACCCACCCACTGCTCCCTTCAGCAGTGTACTTCGTCAGTCAGCCTGTTCTGCTCCCTGCTCTGTCTCAGGTGAAGCCTCTCACTACCTCCGAACCTCTGGCCTGTACCCCAGTTCTGTATGCATAAAGAAAGAAATCTTTTAAAAAAAGAGAGAAGAGGAAAAGAATTGAGAGAGGAATTTGAAAGAAAAATGAGCCAGTGAGAAATGAGAAAATCCAATACAGCTGGGAGAAGGGGTGACAGAAAGGATGAAAGGTGAAAATTCATTAAGAGAAAACCAAGCTAGATTAGAGAGATAAGTACATAAACACTTTCAAACAGGACAGCCAGGTAGAAAAAGCAGTACAATGAGGATAGACTGAATGCATAGGACACATTAGGAGGATGAGAGGTGGGTAATTACTAATGGATAGATGGATGGTGGGAATAGGGATGGACTAGAGAGAGATAGGTGGATGATGTAGATAGAAGATAAATGGATGATAGACAGGTAGGTGAATGAGAGTTGAGAGAGAGAGAGGGATGGTAGATAGATGGATGATATATAAAGGATAGATGAAAGAGAAATAGAGGTGTGATGGATGATAGACACGTGGTTTTTAAAATAAGAAATAAAACGGTACAAAAAACCCAAAAATGCTTTAAATGCAGCTAGAAGGAAAAAAAGAACAAGAGAAGGTAGAAAGTGGGTCCAAGCGTAGGTGAGAAAGGGAGGAAGGGGCAAAGGATCGAAAAAAAATGAAGGGGGCAGGAGGAAGAGAGAGGAATGGAGAGAAAAACAAAGGCATTGGGGAGAAATGAAAGGAAGAAGGAAGATGGGGAAGGGGTAGGAAAGAAGGTGGAAAGGGAAGTGGTTTCAGATGATGAGTCAAAGGGGGAGTTTGATAAAGGGGAATGAGAGAGTGAGAGGAGGCGCCAGTAAATTCTGTACAATGCTGTGTGATGGGGAGCAGATCTACAAAGTACCAGTCAGGGTTTGGTTTTGTTTTTTAATGGATCTTATTTTTCTAAGGAGAACCCAGTAAAAATCAGTACTTCACAGATAGAAAGGGAAAGAATAAATAAAAATCATTTTTTAAAGGTAGCTACTTCAAAGACAGTGAAAGAAAGAGGGAAGAATTAGAGCAGGTAAATAGGGACAGAAGAAAAGGGAGGGAAGAGAGGGCGAGGGAAAAGAACAGAGATCAAGAGAAGGAAGTTTTTGAAGGAGAACTGGAAATAAAAGACGGAAAGTGAGAGAAAGAATGCGTGCAAGAGAACGTTTACCAGGACAGGCCTTAGGATGACAGCAGGATGAAGGAATGAAGTTTACGAGCAGGAGTCAGTGAAAAGCTCCTAAACTAATTCAGGAGCCATTCACATCTGCCCCTGGGCTCAGAGGCACTTTAGCAGTTCCTTGCTGAGTGCATCTGCCGTTGTGAACTTCCACTTCCAGTAGGAGCAAAGTTGCATCTGACAGTGGCCATCTCGGGTGTTTTGGGGAAAAGACAATATAAATGTAGTCACAGTCACAGTATTACAGGGTGACAGAAGGACCGGGTCTGTGCACAGAGAAAGTGACTGGTACCACTAACTAACAAGGCTGTCAACTCGGATGCCAAGAGATGCATCACTGGTGCAAACCCAGTTTACATACACAGAATCTGTGATCCTTTTGTCCACCTAAGCGATTAGAAACAGGAACTGTGGTCATCTCTGTCTCAGATGAGGTGTATGTATCTGGCCTCTGCCGGGTCCTAAGGCGCAACCATGAATTGGTGTGGCCTCTGCGGACGAGAGAGTCTCCAGCGCAGTCATTATACTGGCCTGCATCACCACCCAGAGAAAAGACCATGTTCTCATTGAGCAGGATGGAGGGATGAAGTCTGTCCCTTCTCCCAGAAGTCAACGCTGTCCCCCCAGAGTTTAGCTGTAATTCATCAAGAGACTATTAGGAAGGTGATCATCCTGTCTCCCCATCATCTCTCTTCATCCTCGGAGTTCTCACTCTTCCACTGTTGACATTTTGGGTGGGATAATTCTTTATTGAGGAGGCTGTCCTAAGCATGGTATGGTATTTAAAAGCCCTGCCTTCTACCCACTAGGTGCCATAGCAAACTCCCTCTCTAATTGTAATAGATCACAAATATCTTCACACATTTCCAGACGTCCACTGAGGGATCTAAATTGCCTTCCATTACAGACCACCACTGCGCCTCTCCCATTGCTGCCCACAAGCCCATATGTAGATTGATTAGCATATTGTTCTCTTCCTGGTGCACATGAAAGGATATGGTGAATAGAATCCATCTCAGCTAACTTTTCATCTTTTCTATAAAATAAATGTTGTATTTATTATGTTTCTTTAAGATACTTCAAACACCAAGAAAATGACTGACTCATCCCATGACCACCAATCACATCAAGGACAAAAAGGTAAGTGAAATATTTTGATTAGAAGTATTAAAATAGTAAGTTGGATTTGGTAGGGAACCTCCCCTCTTCGGCCCCCAGCTAGACTTTCAGCCCTTTCTGGGCTTATAAAGCAACAGCTCAAGTGACATAGGAGCAGGTTGGTAAAAAGGTACACATTTTCAGCTACAAAACAAAAGGTCTGAGGGCTATGGTAACATCTGGGGGCTACACATATAAGTCAGGCCCCCCAAAATCAGCACAGCAAAATAGGACTTTCCAGACATACATTTAGAAGGCATGCTCACTGCAGGAAAAAAAAAAGTAAGATACAGGGAAATACGTAGTACACATGTATATGTGTGCATGTGTGTGTATATATATATGAGCAGTGTGTTTTGTAACTATATATATATATATATAACATGGGCAAAAGGCACGAACAAACATTTTCCTAAAGACATGCAGATGGAAAATAAGCATATGAAAAGCTGTTTAACACTACTAGTCATTAGGGAAATGCAAATTAAACTACAGTGAGGTACCAATGCACACTTAGCAAAATGGCTAAAATTTAAATACCTATGAAGCAACTAGAATTCTCTGAAATTACAGGTGGGAATATAAAATGGTACAGCTGCTTTGAATACAGTTTGGCAATTTAAGTTAAATTTACATCAATCACATGATTCAGCATTCCACTTCTAGGAGAAATGAAAATCTATGCCCACATAGAAAACATGTACATCAGTGTTCATAGCAGCATTATCCATAATAGCTAAAAAATTGGAAACAACCTACATGCCCTTCCACAGGCAAATAGGTAGACTAGAGTGTGTCCAGACCATGGGATACCACTCAGTCATAAAAAGGAGTCATGTATTCATAGTCAATAATATTGATGAATCTCCAAATAACTATACTGAATGAGAAAAACCCATTCCATTTCTAGCAAACTCTAGAAAATGTGAAGTAATTTATGTGATAACAGATCAGTGGTTGCCTAGAGGACATGTAGAGCGACAGACCAGAAAGGGATACAAGAAGAAGACTTTTGGAGGTTATGGAAATGTTTATCTCGATAGTGGTGATGAATTTATGTCTAAGTCGAAATCGAACAAAATGTTCATTTAAAAGAAGTGTGGTTTATTGTTTAGTTGGACTTAAACATTGTTTAAAAATTAAATAATTGCTCTTTCATTTACTTTCAGATCACTGCTCTCCAAGTTTTTCCAAGACATCTACCAAAAAAATATCAATCTTATTATCTCATGATGTACAGAGCAGCATAACAGAACAAAAGGTAGAGAGTTCTATGTCTCAGATGCTTTGTATTCATCAGTGATTGATCTAGTTAACTTCCTTAAAGCAGCTGGACTGCAGTGACACTGGTGTGTAGTATTGTATAAGCTAGCAAACTTTTCTTTCTTTGGGCTTACCATTTTTCCAACATAGCTGGCCCGTCAGAGGCACAGGTCTGAACCCTGACCTTGGGAGAGAAGGTTCTGAGTCAGCTTCTTGCCAAATGTACCGTGTAGTTTAACAGAAATAATTTAAACATGCGATGAGATGGTTGGAGAAGGAGGAAGACGTGGTGTGGGCCAGGCCCTGTGCTAAGCTAGAGGTGGGAAGAAGGGGAATACGTAGGGAACACGGGGTACAAAAATGGGGAAGACATGGCAGTCCTTGGAGGACTTACCCAGGAATCAGACACACATACACAGAAGCCCTGATGGTCAAATGAGAGGTGAGCAAAATGCAGTGGGAGCTCAGAAGATTAGAGCCCGCCGCCTAGAGACATCGAAAAGACTTTAGTGAAGGAGGGGTAATTGTGAGGGAGAGGAAATGTGCAGGTGGACAGGTATGAGGACATAGTGAAGCAGTGGGGCAGACAGATGTGAAGGCAATAAGGGAAAGCATGGGCGTGTGGCCAGCACAGCCAGGGAAGTGCAGGTGAGGAGACAGAACAGGTAAGTTGGAGCCAGGGGCTGCTATACTTTGTCCAGGTGTGAATGTAGCCTCCCAGCCTTAGGGAGCATTGCAGTTTTTGGAGTAGGTATCAATTTGGGATTTACCAGGGTAATCTGGTTGCAGTGTGTGGTTGATGCAGAGAAGAGATTTAGAGGCAAGATAGTTTTGCATCGACCGGTAAACATGACAAGAACCTGAACTAAGGCAGTGGTGGTGAGGGTGAGCAAGAGGCCACAGGACTAAAATGTTTCAGAGTCAGGCTATGTAAGGACTTAGATGCATGGATCCAGACGAGGGAGACAGTGATGATAATGATGGAATTGTTGTGAATAAGTTTTCTTGAAGATGAAGATACTTTTCTCTGTGTCCCCATTGTGCTCGTGCTTACCTCTGTCTCACGACTCATCACAATGTATTGTGTTGTCTGTGTGCTCTACTGACTGAAACTTCTTCAAGTCAGGAATTACATATCTTATTTCAGTTTCAAGCAATGTACTCCATAAGCATTAGACTGGAATCAGCAGTTCTTGTCTTAAATAGATGGAACAGCTCGAAGCTTTCTGGATAGATTGCCATACCTTTAACTAAATATGGAAGACAGAGGAGGAGCAAGCTTGGAAAGATGGGGTGGGTGGCAGTGCTTGGGTACGTAATAAGCTTCATTTGAACTAGTTCAGGTAAGTACCTGTGAGAGATATCTAGTAAAAGGTAGATAAAATATGTGTGAGCATTGGGACCACAGAGATAGCTGCTAGGAATTGGGGGGGCTGGGGGGAGCAGGGGGTGGTAGTAAGGGGAAGTAGGAGAGATACTTAGTAGCTTGATTGCTCTAAAGTGGCAAGAGTCTCTTTTAGAAGCTTAATTACTAATGAATGTTTTTCTTTTGAATATTGAAACAGGAAGGTACATCATTTACTTTAAGTGATGAAGGTAAGGAAATGAACAATATTCATACTTGTTCTGTTACCTTTCACTTAAATCACAGTAATTGTGCATTTTCTGAGTTATGCCTCTTTTCTGATTGCATAGTCTTGTGACTGTTTTGATACAAGAAGATATAAAAACTATTCATGATTGTTAAAGTTAGCATCCCACATTTTGAGTGATTGCTGGGTATCTGGGCCCTTTGGAATTTCACAGCCTGGGGAACTTGGAATCCCTGCTGTGGCCACCTGCACTGCTAGGCACCATAAGCTCCTCACAGATTGCTATGTGTTGGTCCCAGTGCTGAGGACTGTCCCTGTAAAAGGTTCCATCTCAATTGCCTTCCTTTCTCCCCAGACATAAAAATATATTCCTGTTCCTCCTTTCTCCGGGGCTGCATTTCAGATTAGCTATATCTCTGCTGCTCTCTTGCATATTCTACACAATCACCAAGAACTTCAGGACATCCAGGCAACTAGCACCCCCAGTCCTATAAGCAAAACCTAGATTTGTCGTCTTCAGTCATCCCAGACTTGAGGCATCTTTGACTCTTTCCTGTTGCTTATATTCTACACCCACAAGTGAGCACATTCTATCTCAACTACCTCCTGAAATTCTCTCATAACCCTTCCCTCCATCCCTTCATACCACCTCTGCCTTTGTCTACCACAACACCGTGCATCCAAGCTCTTCTTCCTCCCATTAATCTGGACCACATTTTGCCCTGAGTGTAATTTCCCCACACTACCCCCTCGGACCGAGAGTTCTCCTTCTCTAAAGTGTTTGGGGTTCCCCCTTGCCTACTGAATCAACTGCAGAACAGTTCATTGTGGACCAGGTAGAAGGAGTGGTGGGGGATACAGCAGAAGAACTTAGGACCAGAAGTTGGGGAGTTCAGTCTTGTCCCTGATGTCAGTGGTGAAACCCTTCAAGTTTATAGACAGGAAACTTCAGAAAAGGCATTTTAGACTTGGAGATGGTACCTTAACTTGAGTAAATAAATACATCCTGGACTATGGTAATTCTAGACATTATGGTAATTCAGCATAGAGAACTATTATTGAAATGTCTTCTTCCCCCTAGGTATTAAAAGTACAAATGTGTCTGCTAAAGCAAATGTCTCCAGACACTCCTCACAAGATGGTCACAAATCTGAGGCAAGTAACATTTTGTTTGTCCTAGATAGACACAGAACAAATGATATATGATGTTATGATCAAGATTAGTATAACACAGTTTCATTCATTAAATTGACAGTTCACAAAAGCCTTCATTACACCCTAAATTAAGCCCCCGATAGTGAGGTGCCATAAAAATTGAATGCGAACCCACAGTCACAATCCTGTGCTACTCAGGCTAGCTGCATTCATGATATCGGTTATGTTAGTATCTAAAGTGCAGGGAGATGCAGTAACAAATGGGAAGATAGCAAAACAGGAGTACTGAGATTTCATCTAGGTCATATATATTGTAAACTAGTGTTGGCTTGATAAAAAAAAAAAAAAGCACAGTAAAGAGTGGTGAACCTGAGACTGAATGCTATAGTTGCCTCTGTTTGGTGATCCCACTTAGCCCCTACGCTTTAGGCTTCCTAATGATGAGCTTCAAGAGCTTCAAGGTACAGACCTGTGGCCTGCAAAGGAAGCAACCCATTGAACTTTTGAGCAGAGAGAGACAGCCATACCGCCTTACCTTATCTATCCCCTTTGCAGCCAGTGATGAGAAGTTAGTCATAGACATCCAGGGTGCAACCTCTAATCACAACATACATTGCCCCTGTAGCTTCCCACCTTGTCATTAGAAGAACTAAATGCATATCCTTGGTTCCCTTAGTACTCTATCAACTGGCACATTTGTTCTAAAAAGTTAACATGGTTTGGAGGAGATGTTGTCAAGCAAGAAATTCACTAAGTCTTCCTAAGGGAATTCTGCACAGGAAGAAAGCTGCAGCATTTGCCATGCCCTCTGTTAAGTGCTTAATAAGCGACAGACTCAGTTATGTGTGCTGTTCAGGTATAACGCATTAGCCACCTTATGCGTCCCTGTAAAGCCAACATTTGTGAAATACCTGCGGTGTACAGGGCTCTGCTGCTGGGTCGACGTATGCATCTAGAATCTGGGAAACAGAAATTCAAGCTATTTAGTGCTAGTTTAGTAAGTGCTATCAGGAGTTAGTCACTTTTTCCACTAGCCAGGACACAGTATCCCCTCCGTGTAACATGGCTAGCAATTTTAACACTATGTCCTTTACCAAAAAAGTCAATGAACAACATAGTTACTTGGCAGGGGAGATGCCATGATCACAAAGATGGTTTTCCCAGGGTGACGCTTATCCAGTGCTCTCCGCATGTGCTGACCCCTGCGATTTCCCCAGATGGGAGAAACTCAACTGCATAATCTGTGGTAGTGGGGGACTGCGTTCGTGCTCTCCCCTGGAAAAAAAAAAGTCAATAAACAAATCTGAATTATCAGTTTGGAAGCAGACTTTTAAAATATTGGGAAATATGAATATATCAAATGGTCACAAATACCTAGTTTATTTTGAGAAATACATTGAGCAATTTTATTGTAATAGAATAATGTCGTTTTCTGACTTATTTCACCCATCCTGTCAGTGTGAAGAAATACACATCTGATGGCTTGTGTCCAGCTCTAAAACCTGGGACAAAAACTTAATCTACTTTGTTACCTAAGAAGTAAGAGCTCTTGGCCAAATCAGAGAGTTACATTCCATGTATGCTGAGAACCTGCTCTCTGCCTTCCAGCTCTCATTTTCCCCTGTAGTTACCTTTGTCTCAAAACCACACATGTTCTGTTATAACCCATTAGTTTGTCAACTGATCACCTTCTACTGGTCAGATGACTTTAGAATACCAATGGAATCTATAAGCTTTTGAATTCTGTATGTAATGTATATAGTATAAATCAAAACACGTACATTTGTTATAGATGGACTTCTAAAATCACTTAAGTTTATATATTTTAAATATGAAAAATAGCTAATGTTCAAATTCTTGAAAAACTCCTTTGAGTATTTTCTTTGTTTTTATTTTTCTCATGGCATATGTAGGTAACACATGCTGATTTGAAAGAAAAACAGTCCAAGAAATCAAGTGTTAGCTTTCAGTCAGGTAAACTTTAGTAATAGTTAAGTAAATCTTATAGTCCTCATTCAACTAACATCTGTTAAGCTTCTACTATATATCAGACACTGATATGCTGAATAGCACACAAAATAGAAAAGCCATGGTCTCTGTCCTGCATTTTACAGATTAGTGGGGAACAGTCATGCCAATAATCACAACCTAATGTAAGTACAGTGATGGAGATACAAAGTAGACTGTGTAATGTCTACTGTAAGTGAAAGCATTTGCAGAAAAGACCAAAGTTGAACTAAGATGTGAAGGATGAGAAAGAATTTTCTAGGCAGACAATTGGAAAGAGAAATACAGGAAAAGAGAATACATTTACCAAGATCTAGACATTGGAGCATAGTGTGTTTTGTGGAAATAAAAATTGTTTAGCTAAAGTTGCAAGTTAGAAAATTGAAGAAGATGAACTTAACTGGTAGATATCATTAGACTCTGGTAGATTCATGCCCAAAAATCAACCTTTCATCCTATTATCCAAGGAAAAATATTGAACAATATTGGCAGAGACATAATATGATCAGAATTTGCCTTTTCAAAAAAAGGGATAATGGAATTATAGGTGAAGAGATTGAAGGCAATGAAACAAGGAAAGCAACAGCATTTATTGAATGCTTACATGTATAAGGACTATGCTAACCTCTTTATTGTTTCTCATTTAAACCTCTTAACAATTTAATGAAGTAAGAACTATCTGTATCTACCATTTTATATACAAGGAAACTAGTAACCTATCTTGACTACATCACACAGCATGTGGCAAAGCTGCGTTTTAATCCAGGTCTCTCTTAACTCAACAAACCACAATGTCATGCTACCTCTTCTTACAATTAAAGAAATGATTACTGTAGTCGAGGCTAGAAATAATCCTGAAAAAAGTCAGTGACAGTGAGAATGGAGAGATGGGCATAGACTCAGACTAGAGAGGTCAAGTGGAGGAGATTTGGGAGCTGAAGGAGTTGAAGACAACACCCAGATTTCCAGACTATGCAACTGAATGGCTGGTGAATAGTGGTGTCATTCAGTTGACAGACAATATAGAAGGATGAACAGGTTTGGAAAAGAAAAAATTAGCTCAGCTTTGAATAAACTGAATTTGAAGGGCCCACAGGCATCCACACAGGAAGAAAGATAACAATCTAATAATGAACAACTTGAGCAAGATAAGTTACTAGTTTACTTGTATGTAAAATGGGAGATAAAGATATTTCTTATTTCATTAAATTGTTCCTGCTTTAACAAGCAGTTATGGACTCTGATCTAAGGCTAATAGGAGAAACAATGAAAAGAACACCTTACACCAAAAGTGATAGGAAATAACAAAAGCTGTGCCTATAGATTTTGGTATAAAATGTACTCTTGCAGGTTGATTATACTTTCTCCTTTTAAATTTCCTCTTTGATTTAAAAGCTATCCATAAGTATGATTCTCAGTTATCAAGAAATTAATATTTTGGGTCACTTTATTAGGTTCAGAGAATGTAACCCTCTGAATCTTTAGCACATTGAAATTGTTAAGGTTTTCTTTGTATATTTTGAACATATTCTATGGAGGTACCCCAAAATGTATACTGTCTAGCTGAAGAACAAGAGCTCTAGATGAATATTAAGTTATATCAGTTGACCATATTGTTTACTATCCCTTTAGTGAAGTTTTTGTCTACTGGACTCTTTTCTTACTGTCTACTAGATATGTCCAGCTATCAGAGAGGTATATCAAAGTCTCCACAGTAACTGCATTTTTATCAGATTCCCATTGCATATCTAATAGGTTTTACAGATAGGGTAGCTTATTTAATACATCATATTATTAGAAACCATCAGGAGTTCTTTATAACTCTTAAATGAATCACTCTAAAACTTGGTAGCTTGAAAAAAAAATATCTCACAGTTTCTATGGTCAGGGAGGTGGGAACAACTTAGCTGGTAGTTTTGACTCAAGGTCTCTCATGAGGCTCTGGTCATCCTGGCTGCTGTGTCACCGGAAGGCTTGACTAGGTCTTGAGGATTCATTTCGAACAGGCTCAGTTTTGTGACTGTTGCCAGGAGGGCATAGTTTCTCAGCACATGGGCCTCTCCAGAGCGCTTCTTGAGTGTCTTCATGAGATGGCACATGTCTTTCCCCAGTGTAAGTAAGCCAAGAGAGAAGGGCTGAAGTCTCAGAAGTTGGGCACCTGCATTTTCACCATATACTAGTCATTCAAAGCAAGGAACTGAGTCCAACTGTACTCAAGGGGAGAGAATTAGCCTTTCCTCTTAGAGGGAAGACTATCCAAAAAATTGTAAACATTTTTAAAACCACCAGGGCAGCATCATCTTTACACTTAATTTTTCAGGTTTGTGAATAGTTAATTCCAGTTCCTTCCCAAGCCTGTACATGTGCAAAAATATATTCCTATACAAAGAAATTCAAAAAAGTACATAAAATTTTAGTAAGGCTTTTAAAGCAGATCACTGGAACTTATCTTCATTATATATTTATTGGGACAAAAAAAAAAAAAGAATAGATAGCATTTGAGTGGAAAAGACCAATGAGGCAGAGTGATGAACAAACATTGAATCAACATATATGTTAAAGAATTCATTCAACAAATAAATTTGATTGAGGACTTAGCATATGCCACGCACTGTACAGTGGTTATCACAATACAGAATAGTAAGTCCTAGCACAGAAGCAGGTGTCAGGTGCTTCAGGAGCACTGACAGAAGATGCTTGTCTGCCTAGGCAGACTTTAAGAAGGCTCTCTGAAGGACGTGACGTGAGCTGAATGAATCCTAAAGGATAGGAATGAAAGGAGGTGGCGCCAAGGTACAGTAGAAATCATAAGGTCAAGGATAGGGTATTGCATGTTGTTCAATGTCTCTGGAGACTGTATGTGGAGAAGAATAACCAGAGATGAGACTGCTAATGTAAACAGTGGCCCTAGATCTTGCAGTATATTTTATGCCTCTTGGAAGTCTCTGAGTGGTTGAAACAACAGTGGCAGCAGGGAATAGACCTATTAGGACATGTTGTCATTTTACAAATAACCTGTGAAGGACATCAACAAATAATAATTTCCTTTTCCCTTTGAAGATCTACCTGCAGCTCAGAAAACTACGTCTCCTCATGACTCATCACTTAAGTAAGTATCTACTTAAGTCTAATAAGTAGTTATTTAAATGAACATTTTTATGACTACCCAGCGTGCTTCTTGAGGGCACATTCTCTCATAAAATCCTGTCAGGACTAAGCTACAGTTGTAAAGTAGGCAGCATTATTCCTTCAGCTCCTCCACCTCCTCTCTGTCTTCTTGCTCTGGTTCTATGCTTCCCTTAAGTACAGAGCCTTCTCCCCCTTTCAGGCAGCACCTCTTTTCTCCAGGTTAGCTTTTTGAGATCTGCATCTATTTTTTTCCTCCTTTTCCCATTCCAACATGTATTACTTGAGCCTTTTGAGGTTGTTTCTTAAAGACAATAGTTTACTATATAACATTAATGACTTAATCTGTTACCCCATTCTAAAGATATTTCCACTGCAATCCAAAGGAATCAGTCTCCAAAGATACAAAATAAAGACCAGTGGACAAGATTTGGTGTCGTGAGGGTGGGGAGGCCTAGGGCCCTTTCTCTCCTTAACCCTTGCTGGCTATGTATGCTGCTATGTTCCTGCTCCCCTCAAACTTGAATAATATTTCATGCACATAAAATAACTCCTAATGGAGCACACAAATCCAATCTTTTAAAAATTTAACAATCCGGGCCCTCCCTGGTGGCGCAGTGGATTAAAGCACAGCACTAAGAAGCTAAAGCCACTTCCGCATGAGTTCGATTCCCGCCTGCCCCAGAGGCGACCACATGGCGCGGCAGACCTCTCCTGACCCGCCCGCTGCTCCCCTCAGCAGTGTACTTCATTGATCTGCCTGTTCTGCTCTCCGCTCTGTCTCTGGTGGATCCTCTCACCCTCCGCATCTCTGGCCTGTACCCCAGTTCTGTACGAATAAATAAATCTTTAAAAAAAATTTAACAATCCTCCTGAGATCAAGGATAACATTTAGAGATTCCAAACTGTGCTGAAAATAGTTGGGTAAAGTGAAGTGTAGAATTGCTGGGAAACGGTGTTCACATTCTGACCAAGCTTCCTAGAGAGCATTTTGAACTTAGAAGTAAGACAAGTCAGTTTCTCTGACTTGCTGAGAGCTCATGGGGTAGATTCAAGGATGTTGGAAGAAGGAAACTGACTGACTAGCCCAGTATTGGGATGTTCTAAAGAAATAAATGAAAGAATAATGATTATGCATAATTTCTTAAGTGTTAATTCCTGTCTCTCTCTCTCTCTCCTGCCCCCATGCCCCCTATAGAGCTACAGAATCACTTGAATCTTTTTAATATCAAATGCTCTGGCTACTCTTTTATTAACTCAGCTAAGATGTACTCGACATGTGACCTGGAGCTTCTCCTCAGCCCCCATAACCATATACACAGTTAAAATACCTTTACCTTCCCCCTTACCTTTACCTATATTAAGGGCAGTGCTAGGCCAGCGTAACAAAACCCAGCCAACAATACTATCTGGCCTGCTCTGCCCTCTGCAGCCATGTCACATTCCTTACCTTTTACAGAGAAGAATACAGGTTCAAGGCCTTTGTCTTAGTCCTCTTGTTCTGATGTAGCTCCTTGTTTCCCAAGGCTCAGCTGTGACTAGATCTGCTAGTTACCTTCTTTGTTTCCTCACTCAACTCTTTAGCTCCCTTTTCCCCTAATGCTAACACAAAAGGCATATATACAGTGTCCTTCATAGCACAGAATTAGGAACCAGAGATTGAGAGAAGAGAAAGCAAATATTATATCATAAGATAATGGTGGGAATAAGTCATTGTAATAAGTAAGCTTTGCATGTAGATACTGTGTCCTTCTGAGTGGAATGGAAGACAAGAGGAGAGAGAGAGTAGGAGGTAGTGAGTCAGTCTGTTGTCCAGAAAGCTGTGCTCAGAAGTCTGCATTCATTCTTTGGGTAAGAGTTGAGTGATATTAAGGAGGAATGTTGTATCATGTCAATAATTCTTCTGAACACCTGTGACAACATCCATATAAGATAAACTGAAAATCCTTAACTGGGTACCAGTTGCAGAAATCCACTAAAGGTCTGTGTTGCACACGAAGACCTCATTTTGGAGCGAGAAGTATACATAGATGTAAAACATGTTTCGTGAGAGTTGATTTGTCAAGCTTTCTTGAGAAAGCACATGGGTATTGGGGGGGATATCAAGATAAAGCAGTTGCACTTCAAAGAACATCAGGAGAAAAGCCAGGGAGACACAAGAATTCCAGATAATAAAATGAGGGCAGGAAGTGGATAAAATGCCAGGCAAAGGGAGCACCACCCATGAAGCTGTGATAAAATGCCAGGCAAAGGGAGCACTGCCCATGAAGCTGTGTAGTGGTTGGCTTTTAGATTGGAACACTAATACTTGCTATAGAGATGCTGTTTTCAAATCCCACTAGAGTGAGGAAATGGGTTTGACAAGAGAAGGGACTGTAAGAGTGATCAATTGGTACCAGACATCACCTAAAGCTATCAGTGTGAGATATAGGTAGAAACCAGTTGCATTTAAAGTAGGTAAATAAATATGTTAAAATTTTTAATATTAAAAAACAAAGCAATACTTTTGATTAAAAGCATATTCAGGAATCAAACAAAATAATCATTTGTATTTAAGTCCCCACCAAAAAGTAGATATTCGGAAGGCTTTGGCAGACACACTAAAATTTAGTCTTGTCACATTGATTTTTCAGGAGTGTTTGGCCAAGCATGTGAAGATATCTTTTAGGTATCTTCTGAACTAAAGTGAGGTTGGGGGCGGGGGTGTGTGAACTTTTTTTTTTTTTTAAAGATTTATTTATTTATGCATACAGAACTGGGGTACAGGCCAGAGACTTGGGGCGGTGAGAGGCTTCACCAGAGACAGATTGGGGAGCAGAACAGGCAGATCGACGAAGTACACTGCTGAGGGGAGCAGCGGGCGGGTCAGGAGTGGTCTGCCACACCATGTGGTCGCCTCCGGGGCAGGCAGGAATCGAACTCATGCGGAAGTGGCTTTAGCTTCTCAGTGCAGTGCTTTAACCCGCTGCGCCACCAGGGAGGGCCGGGTGTGTGAACTTTTTATGACAGCAAATTAAATTGTGAAAAATTCTCTTTGGAGATTCTGAACAGATTGGAATTAATATTACTGACCTCTGTATTTAAGTATCAGAGAGCTAGCACTACAAACGACCTACGGCTTCTACACACTACTGTGCTATTTTATCTAGAATTAGGGAAAACCACCTAAGATCAGGGAAAGTAGATGAAACTTCCCAATAAACATCACAGAAACTTGTATCTGATACTCTTATCCAGTTTCCAGTGGTCTTATATGAAACGTACTCCCTTTATTTGGTTAGTTTTGTTCTCAGATCTTTGCTGTTTGCTTTTACCTAAATGCATGCCTTCAGGATGAAAACCTGGGAGGGGGGAACAAGTAGTGGCAATACACAGGGCTCCCTCGGTTCTACTTGCCGCTGTGAAATGAGGTAGAGTGAGCAGGCAGAAAAATCTGGGAGCACTAGATTTCAGACGATCTACAAGAAGGAAATTGTCTTGGAGTTGGCCTAAAAAACTGAGTCCTGGAAAAATATGAGTCCAGAGATGTATTTATGCTACTCCTCTGCATAATAGAGCATGCCCTATACTCTGGGACCAGTATGTAAGTGGGAGACGAAGAGATTATGCTTGTTGAATTGCCAGGAAGGGGAAGAAATCTCCTAAGCACAAAGGGGAATTCTGATTCAATAATTAGGAATTAGCGATGGGGGAGGGTTGAATTACATAAACCATCAACTATAAGTAATAAAATCAATCTCTCTTTACCTTTCAGAAAACCAAACTGCTGTCCAGATTGCTGTCAAGGAAATGTGAGTACAATGAAATTGATAAGAAACATATCAAAACGTATTTTAGAATGTTATAAGAGGAAAATCTGAACCAAATGGCTTGCAATCATCTGTTGATATCAGTCTCCTTCTTTGCCTTTTTGTCGTCCTTGACTTTCACTCCCAGTCTCCTTCTTTGCCTTTTTGTCGTCCTTGAGATTTGCAGAATCCAAATGTATTGTTAAAAGGAGGTCCAGTTACCACTCATTGGTGCTTTGGACAGGCATTCTCAGGAGGGTAGATTGGGGAGCCTTGAGAGGGCTGGTCGTTGAGGGAAAAGCTCCAGAATGGGCAGCCATTAAGGGAAATGTCTTTGGGTACCACTGCATATCTGGCTCAGGGCTGAGCATCCTCCCCAAGGGCAGGGGAGTCACAATGCCTGGGCCGCTCTCTCTTCTGGGAATAAGAATCTGAAAATCGCTACTTCATCAAAAGAAGGGAGCTGGTCACCTGAAAGCTGCAACTGGGACCAGATAAAGATATGAGGGTGAGTTTGATGAGCCCTAACTCTGGGGCTCATCTGAGGCAATGGTCATGAGCAAGAGAGGAGAGTAGCATAGGCTCTTTCATGTATATCCCTGTGTAGTTCATAGAATAGGCAGCAAACACAAAGACCTAGACATAATGCTAAAAGACCATTTCTCGATTTAAGCTAAAAAATCAGATTCTGTTTACCATGTTTCACTTTATTAAAAACTTTAAGAATGCTCATAGTTTATATATCAAGGTTAGAAATGCTTATTGATGTAAGTCTGCTGTGCATGGTTCATGAGAAAATACTGTATGTTGACATTGTTAGCTCAATGTATCGGAATAGACTTAGACCAAGAAGGTAAGTAACTTATCTATCAATGTTTGGATGTTCTTCTCAGAAGTGTTTGATGTAGGACATGGCTTATGTTAGGCAAGTACTCTGCAATCATATATTGTCATCCCACACGGGTTTTCATACTCATCCATTTTCTGGTATTGGTGGTAAGAAAAAAAGACACATCAAGTGATGATGTTTGAACGACATTGTAAACTTAGTGTGGCTGAACTGTACATTTGAAAGTGGTCAGATGGTAAATTTCATAGTATCTGTATATTTGTCACATTTACCGTATTTTATCACATGGATCAGTACATTAAAAGAATTGGGAATTTTCCCTGAGGTGGCCAGGGAAATGGGCCAGGAGAGTATGCTACAGACAGCAAGGTGTTAACTTTGAGTGTTGGCCTAAACTTGGACAGATTGGAAATTAACTAAAGAGATGATTGGAAGGCACCCAGGAACAGTCCACGGGATCTGGGGCTCAGGTTCCAGGATGTGCAACAGTGCATATCTTGAATGCCAAGCATTTGGACCTTGTTGCCTCGACTTGTATCTATAGCCTTGAAAAGCAGAGTTCTTGTGGATGGTACACATTCCTCATCTGGCTGTGTTGACGGTCATAACTTAGAAACTAGTCCTATTATAGGCAGAATGATTTTTATGGTCCCCAGACTTATCTACAATAAGATTACATAAACGTGTAGAGAGTTTTGTATCTGCTTCTCATCCAGCCTACACTGAGGAAATGGTCATGATTCAAGTCTCATCACTGGGTTTCTCCTTCAACTCGTATTGAAGGAGACCCAACTTCCCTTTCTTGTTCAGCTTGCTGACCTTACTGGACTCATCCCAGTGCTACTGCGGCCCTACTTCTCTACCTGGATTACTGTGTTTCTTTACTTCCTGAGCTGTCCTGTCTCCCTCGCCAAGACAGATTGTACTGATAATCTTTTGTGGACCCAAAACCTATTCTTTTCCCTATATCATCAGGGCTGATTGTCACCCATCAGTTCAACCTTACAAGTAGCTGTAGTCATTTAAACACAGTCAATTAACAGAAGAAGCCAACAGCAGGCAAGCCACAGAGCAAACAGACTGACTTGGGGAGTCTTTATTTTTCACCCTTGCCTCCTAGCTAACCAGGTGCCTAAGTAAAGAGTCTGTTATCTTTGTCATGAAACATCAGTACTTTGACTGCAGATTTGTTTCATAAAGTAGTTTATTAGAGGTAATCTGGCTTATATTTTTAAGAAATATTGCTTGAAAAGATAAAGTTGCCATCTGTGGCAACATGGATGAAGCTGAAGGGATTATGCTCAGTGAAATAAGTCAGAAGGAGAAAGACAAATAAATACTGGATGGTGTCCCTTATATGTGGAATATAGAGAAACCAAACTAAGGCAGATCAAGCCAAGCAAGAACTAACCCTAGACAGCTGACTATAGAACTAAGATTGCCAGAGGGGGAGGGAGAGGAGAGGGGACCGGGGGAGGAGGAAGAACAGTGGACTATGGTGGAGGACTGTGGGTGCTTCTGTGATAGGTGTAGTAAGGTAACAACACCTGAGGAGGAAGATCACCCCATACTTCTAAAACACATTTTAAACCAAAGTTAACCTCAATAAAAGACACACACATATGCACAATTTTAAAATAAAAGAAATATTGTTTGAATCATCAACACAGTCTGTCTTCTTGCCGGAGCGTTTGTTTTCTATGAGCCAAGACAACCACTTAGCTATTTTTTTTAAACTAAAAAGCCATTTATCCTTAGTAATAAATACTGAAAATAAAATTTCAAAGAATTTCAAATCAAAGAGATGCTTATTCAAAACACAGATCCTAAATAGAACATAACCATACAGAATATACCAACTTGAAACCAAGTGTTACTTAAATAGATCCTCTCCTGTGTTCTTGCTGTACACCATGGCTGGATTCTGGCTGTGCATTGTTTGGCATAAGGAATTAAAAGTTAGTCCTTGCTCCCCAAATGGAGTAACTTCATATTTCATTTCCCTTGTATCCCTGCTCACCTCCTTTCCAGGTAACTTCTGAAGAACTGAACAGTATAATTCATAACACAATGACCTGGGTCGTGGCTGCAGTGACCAGTATATTATACCCAGCCATCACAAAACATGAAGAAAAGTTACAAAACATTACACCTCCAATGCCTGATGCTTTCCCCTCCTCCTCAGACAGTGTGAACTGCTATAGCACGTACAGTGAGATACTTCCTTATAAAACAAGTCAGAAGTTTCAGGCAGAGCTCTGTGCAAACATAGCTGATAAGTCAGAAAAGCACATATCTTTCAACCTGGCTTCTGCCCATAAAGAAGACACAGGTATGAAGAAAAAGTACTGTAAGAAAGGACAATTTAAAGTCTTGGAGGCTAAATATAATGAGATCTTTGAGCCCCTCAACCTTAAACCTTCTACACCTGATAGTCACCTTTCCCTCCAAGCAAAAACATACAGAAAGAAATCTAAAGATGCCTCCACTGTCTGTAACTCAGGATGCTCATTGCCTTCCAGTGAAAAAGCAAAAACCATAAATGAGATGCAGGAGTTACCAGATGGTTGTGTTGACTTTAAATGTTATCTAAAAGAGGAAACTGAGTTGATTTTAAAAACCATTTTTCATGAGATAATGTCTGAATTAACCCAGGCTATCCCCCCTCTGTCCTCGGCTACATTGGAAATGTTGACCGACCAGAACAATACAGACAAAGAGGACTTGCCCTTCAACGTAGCTATCTCTTCAGCATCAGTTGAAATTGTGGAAAATGTGCTGACAAAGCTGCAATCTGCCATTGAGAAAAAATGTATTGAGGTATATTCCCAAGAAAGTATGACAGTGAACTTCAAAACAAACATAGCAGTCAGTGAAAAACATCTCACAGCTTCCAAGAAGCAAACCTCAAACGTTTCAATGTCTTATATGGCCGATACCATCAGTGAAGTTGCAGATAGCATGATTCGTATGATTTTAGAACAACTGGTGGCTATTGTATCTTTGAAGCAAAATGATCTTGCTCATCTTAAAATCACCACTACTCCTGCTTATCAGCAACACAGGGAAGATCCAACTTATACATACCTTCAGAGAGCTGGCAGAAAGAAGCCCAGTGCTGAATCTGATACGGCCAGTTTTATGGGCAAAGAAGAAATTAAAACCTTAGTGTCAAATATTTTTTCTAAGCCCTCTCTGACTGATGCCATAGAGGAAGTAATCAGCTGTATTTTAGATTACATACAAATTGGACTTAATAATGAAAAGCTCATTGCAAGTGAAGAAACCAAAATCATCCTTTGTCTACTTGATGATATCTTGACTCAGCTACATCAGAGACCAGCAAAAACAGGTGTCCAAGAGAGAAGACACGCCATACTGAGAATTCCTCCTGGCACTAAAGAAAAGAACAAATTCACCAGTGCTAGGACAACTGATGGTCCCAACTATACATGTCTGTTTCCACCTGTAACTGTTCCTAGAATGGTAATTTATTCTGAAGATGAAAATAAAGAAATAGACAGATTAGTGGAAAATGTACTGATTACATCTGTCCAACATGAAAAAGCAAAATTACAAGAACAGCTTCCTGATCACTGGTTGACAAAGGGAAATGCTGGTTTTAAGTACAAAATAAATATGTACTTACCTACAAAGACTGCTAATGGAGGCAAAGTAGCATTTCATCAATGCCAAGCAAACACTGAATTTCCAGCTTTTACTAATGAGGAATTTTTTGAGGATGAGCCATATTTGAATAAAGATACTTTGCTTTTCAGTCAAGAAGAAAAGTATCAAATAGAAAAAGCATCAGAAAATATAATTACCCATATTTTAGCACAGATGCTCAAAGACTTACCTTCTGGATCCTCTAGTCACTTTGATTATAAAAATGGTAAAGAGGCTTCTCTTACCTTTGTAAAGCCACATGACCTGTCACATGAAGAATGGATGAACCATATGTTCTCTGTGTCAGAAATCCATATAGTAGCTCAAGAAATTGTACATGCTGTATTAAAAGTACTTTGTATGACGTTTAGTCACATTGAACATTCTTCATCAGCATATGGAACCTCTCTAGAGAATATTGATATACCACATGAAGACCCATTAGAAAGATGGTTTGATAGTTGGAAGAAAATGAAACTTTGGT